GGATCGGGACGCCATGGATGTCTCCTGGCCAGGCAAATAGCAGCCAGGGAGAAGGGCTGGCGAGTGCTATGGACGGGGAAGAACAGATGGAGTATAAATAATCTGGCAGCCTGCAAACAACATGGCGACTCTCGGGTTATTAAAGCACAGCGTGCGCAACGAGGACCAGCCAAGCCATCAGTGCATGAAGGGGCTGGGGATTGCTTACGTTAGGATTTGTCTTCCAAGTGAAACCAAAAGCACGTCTGTTTTAAGCCACTGCATCAACACACACCCGTCTACTCGGGGGAGCTGAAGACAGAAGAACCCTGTTGGACTTCAGGTCTACTCATCCACTCAGGTCAGGATTGTCTCTGAGCAGAAAGTAACCCTTGGGTTTCTCTATCTTACACTTAAGTCCTCCAGAATACCAAATAATGGAAAGAAAACACCCTAAAACATCCAAAGCATTAATTTTTGAGAGATGTCATCCTCCTTTTTAAAAATAATCAAAGTCTTGGAGAAATACTCCACCTTACTCTTATAATTAAAGTGCACAATTCATCTGATGGGAAAATTATGTTTTAGAGGGGGAAAATTTGTCTTCATACTTTCAAGTCTAGAACTAGAAAAACCACTCCCTCCTGAACTTCTGGGGGAAGCTCTTGCCTGGGTGATGGCTATCACTCTCCTTAGGAGAGATCTGTCCCAACTGATTCCTTCCATGTCATTAGTCTTACCATTAATTAAGACTATTACTGATTACAGGAAACACCCAAAATATCTGGTTACAAATAGGGCCACACTGGGCTGGGCATAGTGCAGTTTTTGCCAGATAACAATTTTCAAGTTGGAAAAAAATGACAACTTTAGGAAAGGAGAACCAGAGGGTGGAGACAAGAGGGATGGGACCAAAGGCTAAAAATTAGGAATTGCCACCTGTCTTAGATAACACCTCTCCCTCCTAAGCATCTGTGCTCTTCAAGCAGTTTAACAGGGTTTGGGTTAGGGATGTGGCTCATGACAGCTCCATCCAAGCCAGTCATCAGGACCCACTTCAGAGCAATTGGAGGGAACTGGGAATAGGATGCCCATATGCAACATCTATGGAAAGACAATGAGCACCCCAAATCTCAGGTAGGATTTAGTTGCCCTAATAGAGCCATCTGAGCTGAGCTGAAAGACACCTGAGGATCCACGACATCCGCACGGACCCACAGATACAGCACGGGAGACCAGGGGAAGCATATTGGGAGGTCAGAGAAGATCCCCAGGATCTTCCTCTTTTCCACGATCTGCCTCTCTCTAGGAAATTAAATCCCACGATATGTGTTCAGCATTCATCTTACCCAAGCTACAGGGCTTTAACTCTAAGAAAATGCACTGATTCATAACTATTAAGGCTAGAAGGTGCTGTGTTTGGAGTCTGGCTTCCTCATGCAAGGCTCTCTCTTAAAGAGCTCCATCAAAGCTACCACTGAAGCCAACCACTGTACTGTCACATTTAACCTGAAATCACACCCCAATAGCAGTCCAACCACCCTTATTCATATGCAAACCCCTGCCCATTTCCTCAGGTGTCCTCTTAAGCCTAAGCCATCATTAATGACCGATACCTGGCCAAGCATGGGGGATCCCCACAGCACCCTGAAATCAGAGCAGAAACAGCAAAAGGACACATCTCCTTGGGTTGTGGCCTTTCAGAACATTTTGTGATGCTAAACTATTCAAACACCCTTGAAAATACTGTCTGTATTTAGTTTTCTTTAAGGATCAACATGTTTTCTGAAAAGAACAGAATGACAAAATAGCAAGTGTGTTGCAAAAAGCTTTTGTGAAGAAAAAAAACTTATTCCAGGAGGTGCAGTTTGCAAAACACTATGTTTAGTAACTATATAATAGCAGCATTTTCTGGCAGTTGAACATCACGCTCCTTCTCAAAGGATCCTAAAAGCATTTTACAAACACTTGCAACATATGGCCAAGTGTAAAATAGCACCAGAAAAAAAAAAAAAAAAAAAAACAGTAAAAAAAAAACCAAAAAAAAAAAAAAAAAAAAAAAAAAAGATCCTGTTTGCAGCCTTCTCTCTGATTTTCTGCCACCAGCTCGTGTGGTCTGGTGGCTGGTGCCCTCTCCTTGGATGCCAGGAGGGGGATCAAGGCTGTGGTTTTGCAAAGGATTGCTGCCAAAGACCACCATACACGAGTTCAGCTCTGGCGTGTTGCTGAGCGTTGGTAATCCAGGCTCAAATCCATGGCATAAGATGTCCCCAGCAGAAATCAACCCTATTACACCAAACTTGAAGGGCATCACCACCGACAGCAATGATGGGCTGATAGACCCATCTAAGGAGCCCCTTCTACCACTACAAATGTGGATCTGCTTTCATGCTGCCACCACCTGGGACCAGTTCCATGGCACATTGGTGACACTGCCCACAGCCCAAGGGACAGCAGTACCTTAAGTCATCACCCAGCCAAACCACGCACACGCTCACCCTGGGGACCACTCATGCCTGTGGAGCAAGCACACACACTCTCCTCACTGATGGATTTCTGTAGGGAAATGTGGAAAATGCAGAATATAATTGCTCGGTGTGCAGTTTACCATGTCCGCCAAAGTAAACACTTCCAGATTTCCAGAAGATCTTTAACAGTTGCCAGCTGTCAAACCCCTTGTTTTATATCTCATCTAACACCTGACAGTTACAGTAGCGCAGAGCCCCAGGCACCATGTACAGACATTACTTCTGTGCTGGTTTTGGAATAAAATATTAAAATTAAAAGAAAACAAAAAAAAATACACCTTTGTATTTAACACTTGTTGCTGGGATCTGGGATTCTCCTTGAAGGTCCCACAGGCAAATATTGCATATAGTCTCCTAAAGTCTTTCCTTAAATCACATTTAAGTCATCACTAGAGGAAGACATGCTGACAGGCATGGACAAGCTCTCATAATTTCCTCCTTAATGAACAAGCACAAGATGGGGTTGATTCCCCCTAAATGGGCAGAATAAAGTGGTGCCCACACACAAACCATTTATGCAGCCTCCTGCCTTTCCCAGCACCAGAACCAGGGGCTTAGATAACACCAGACACTGAATTCAGCTCCCCATGGGCTCACCTTTCATGTTACAAATAAAAAAAGCCCCATTGACCTAATCCTGCCTTTTTGTCACTTTTGGCCCCAAAGTAACTCTTCTCTTGGGCCATTCAAGCATTCCAATGTTTCACATTGTCTTCTAAAAGGAACGTCTTTCCAAGCTCCACCGCATGGCACAGCAACTGGGATTTGCTGAATTTAAATTTATGACCCTCATGCAATAATTAAAATAAGCGGGTATAAGTCTGGCATGCTGAGAAGAGGCAGCAAAACAGCTGTTAGTTATAAACTTTTCAAAAGAAAGGATGTTTTATGAGCCTCATCAGAAACATTCTTCACTCTTTCATACAGGCAGGAATAAAATTTACACATTAGGCATTCCCTATTGTGATTGAATCCCTGCCCCACACAATGCATTTTTGATCTTGAAACTGCGAATGCAAACTTTTAATAGAGTTGGCGGATTGAAGCGTTGTATGAAATAAATGGCAGAGAATCAAAACCCTTTGCACGCCACTCCCATCACAACGCTGGGGGCTTCTCAAACCCACGCTCCTGCAGGAAGCCAAGGCACAAATCTCCACACTTTTCCCAGCCTCGTGGAGCTTTCACATCGCAAGCAAACGAGCCACCGCCTGGGCCATTAGCAAAGCAGTCCCAAATTAACGTTGCTAATTTGAGTGCATCTCAGCTGGGCAAGGAGCCTGGATTCCTCATGGGAAGCTGCTGGCATGTCCCACCAGAAAGGGTGAAGGTGGCACTAGGGTTTCATGAAATGCCAGCTGGGATGGGGCATGGCGGGTGCCTTCTTCCAATTGCATGGGTGTTTTGGGGTGTCCCAGTGAAATCACAGAATCACAGAATCTTCTAGGTTGGAAGGGACCTTAAAGATCATCTTGTCCAACCATCAACCTAACTGACAAAAATAGACACCCACACAACAAACAAGAAACATCATCCCTAAACCATACCTCCCAGCACTACATCAACCCGTCTTTTGAACACCTCCAGGGATGGTGCCTCAACCACCTCCCTGGGCAGCCCATTCCAATGGCTGATAACCCTTTCAGTGAAAAAAATTTTCCTAATAATAAATGCTGCTGATGGGCAGGGAAGGAACCCACAGGGTGCTCAGGCTGGATGAGCCAGGAATGGTGATGGAGAGGGCACCGTGGTCCACCAGGTCCCCAAGCAGGAGGTGACACCACCAGAGACAAAACGCACACCTCCCTGAGCATCCTCTCGCACCCGTGGCCGCGCTGCCCATCGCAGAACAGCCAGGATTTAACTGTTAGAAACCAGACAGGCACAGCTAGAAATGCGGATTATGTGGAGCCGTCATGATTAATAGCAGTGCAGATTTGGACGGGAAATTAAAGCTGGTGCCTCAGGGCTGAAGCACATCTCTAACTATTAAAAACCAGAGTGAGGGGGGAAAAAAAAAAAAAAAAGGAAAAACGATGTGGGAGCAAAATTATCTCCCACTTCCACTACAGGTCCCTGAAGGAGGCTTTTCTGCCTTGTGGCTCATGATTAAGTGAAAATTTTGGTGCAAGGCTCACAGAAAGCTGGCCAGTCGACGGCAACTTCCAGATTTGTAGCCCTGCATTTTCACAGCTCTATACGATGCCTTTTGCACAGGTGTAACAGAATAAGACACATTAAAAATGAGGTTGGAGAATTCAGTGCTGGTCGCTCCCAGCCCCTACAAAACACTGACCAAAAGAAATCAGTTCTCAGAGTGGAAAGTCCCCACGTAAAACTGCATTTTATACAAACATCTCACTTGTGACCTTTCACGGTGATGTATTAGAGCAACGGCCTTTCCTGCAAAAGTTTAACATAAGCTGCTAAACACTGCATGGTATTTATTCACTGCGGGTTCTGTAAGCAAAGGGAAAAATGCGTATCTTTTACCTTGAACACTTCCATTGGAAGAGGAAAATTTGCTGCATCATTAAGGGATTTTTCCAGAGCGCATTTCCACTCAGATATAGTCTTCAGAGAATAGATATCTAAAGCGACGACAACAAAAAAAAAACAACAAAACCAAGAGGTGACTGTTTGGGGATCAAACGTTTTTCAAAGACTTAAGTTTCGATGTCATAAAAATGGATAGTACAAGGGAAATGAACAGTGGGTACGTTCCAAGCTGTACAGCGTGGATAAATTCAACACAAAAGCAACTAGCAGGGGCACATTCAAGGAAGATTGTGTTATATATCCTGGAGTAAAACCCAGAAAAATACACGTCCTTCATTTTCTGCTGAAGAAAGGAGAATTGTACTATCTCATTGCTTGAAAATAACAAACTGTCCTTTGATTTTCAATTCTCAAAATACCTGATGTGAGAAACCTCAGATCTTCAGCCAATATTAGTTAAAGTTGAACAAAGGCAGAAATATTTTTACTAAGGCTTCTGTTCATTGGAAAGTCTTTATTATTATTTTTTATTGCAGGGTTGGGGTTTTTGTGTGGTGAGTAGGGGTAGGTGTGGGGAGGAACATCTAAGGTAGATCTCATTTGTTGGTACCACACTCAAACCAGACTATCACACCAATTCAAAGACTTACACTTATGTATTTTCATCATTATACTTCTTTGTGCAGATTCACATTGCTTTCACAGAGTTTCTTTAAATAGGTTTAATATTATTAAATCATTAGATTAACAAGCCCTTTATGGTTCAGTGCAATGAAATGCCTATGAATCATCAAAGGAAACAATGTAGGAAACAATATTATAATGAAGAACATTATATTGGATTTACTTCTGCCCTAGAAAACATATTGTTATCCTGCACATAACAAGTTATTGCAGAACATTCATATCAAGGTCTTAAAGAGACAAGATAGGTAGATAGATTGCGACAATTATTAAAATGGAAATGAACATTTACTCAGTAATAAACTTGAACCTTGATACGGAGCGAACAGTGCGAAGCTTTTCTTTTGTCAGTTTGGCTTCACGCACTTACATCACAGTTCAATTTGGCCCAATTTGCATTTAAATTCTGTACATCTAATAACCATACATATTTACTAGCTAGCGAAGATTTACCGCTGTATCTTACAATTCTGAAGGAGGGAATAAAAAATATGTGTTAAAAAAAAAAAGGAACTGGCAAGCACTGCTTTCACCTAGCACTGACGGTACAAGGGAATTTTATGCTCTGATCTCAACAGATTTAAGACCTTATCAAAATAGGATTTGCAGAATCACTCAGTGGAAGTGGATGTATTTATACTTCCACTATATCAAACCTCGCTACTTCAGAACCGACATCAAGGATATGCATATGAATTTAAACACACTTAAAGGGAAATGTTAACCTTTCAGGGCAGTATTTTTAATTCCTCAAATGTCTGGTTATTATCAGGAATATGCATTTCAAGTCTTTGTTTACAGCACGTGTAGCGGTCACAAGTGTTAAGGAGTGCACTCTTTAACTAATTGTTCATTATTTTATAGCCTTGCTGCTCTGCTTCTCCCTTACTTGCAGGAGCTCTGATCAGTTTGAAGCGCAGGGAGAGAAATCATTCACCTCATTTCTTCCTTTCTGCTTTAATTGAGGCCAAGCAGGGAAATACTCAACACAGTATGATTTTGCCCCAAGCTGCAGCCAGCCTGTTGTTTCAACTAACAAAAAGTCTGAGTTTCGGAAAACCCTGCTGGATGGTCCCCAGACAGAGGAAGCTGAAAACAGACCCTCGTTTTCTACCTTGATGGCAGTGAAGAAGAAAGGAAAAGGAAAGAAAAGAAAATGGCATTTGGGGTGACTTTGCCCAGAATCAGGGAAAAGAAACAGCAACTTCTTTGGGCAGTGTCAACAAACTTCGAGAGGCAAAGACAACTCCAAGGGTTTCAATAACCAGCGAGCAATATCATATGCGCATTTAATTAGTGGGAGCTTGCTTAGGCTGGCAAGTGTATGGACACTAAATCGCTCAGTTAAAAGAGCATAAAGCATTTCATTTAAGTGATAGGGCTGCAGGTAATTGAACAAAGTGTACTGTGTCAATTTGTATTTAGGTTAACAAGGAGTGAGCAATTAAAATGACTGCCAATTTGTCTTTAAATAGAAAGTAACATAAAAAAGAGACGATGTCTTCCTGTGTAAGCAGCCGAGGCAAGACCATCAGTGGCTCTGTGTCAAGCAGCCCGTGCCAATTTGCACTAGCAAGGAGGCTTATTTTGCATTCTGATATATAGCTGAGGGGAAAAATATGCTACGTATGACCCCTTTGCCTCAGTTAAAAGGGCTTGTGAGACATACAAATCCCCTGAGAGTTGCCATTCGGAGAAGACAGCCAGGATGCTGCTTCCAAAGGACCCTCTTGCACATTTTTGTACATTAAGTGGGTGCTTGGATGTGGATGGCTTCAGACAAAGAGACCCAAAATGCTGTAGACATTGAGATCCATGGGATCTCCTTTATATGAGGACCCTCTTGCACATTTTTGTACATTAAGTGAGTGCTTGGATGTGGATGGCTTCAGAAAAAGAGACACTAAGATCCATGGGATCTCCTTCATACGACATGCTCTGAATCTTGAACAACTGACCCCAAACTGCTGTGCAAGGTGGAACCCAAGCTGACAGGTCCCAGAGGGGGATCAACAGAGAAAAATCATAGCCTATAAGTAAAGGGAAATAAAGCTGAAGGTGCATGTGCAGCATCCAAATCAAGGGTAAGCAAAGCATGGTAACAACCTACAGAACTGATATATAACTCATTTGATAGCAACTGAACATGCAGCCTGATTTGGGAGGAGCTGCATGTTCTCAGCATCTCTTTGGAGGAGATTCATAACACCTTTGATATACAGCCTAAGGCTGCTCCTGCTATCAATCAAGGAGTCACATCAACTGGCTTCAGATGTTCAAGATAGACAACCAGGTCTATGTTCATTGCTTTCAAACACTCTGAGTAAAAAAAATAGGCTTATGAAGATGTCATTTCATCTGACCTATGTTAGACAGGTCTTAGGCATCCTCTTTTCTCTGCCAATCATGAAGCAAAAGAATAGCTTATGCTGAACTGTCTTTTTGATGCCTACACTATATCAGGTGAATTTGATCCCTGATGTGTAAAAAAATCAACATAGTGCTCATACTGTCTCTCTTTCCTAAGATGGTCCACACTAGATCTTTCACACAACGAAGGCCTTTCTAGTTCAAATCCAGTTTACTATAGAAGTCACCAGGGAGGAGTTAAGCAGGCAGGGATGTGTCCCTGACACACTCTCCTGGCCTGGCATCCTTAGGAAATTGCATCCTTTGACAGTTTGTGGTTTGGTAGCTTCATCCCTGAGCTTCTTTTGAGCTCTCTGCTGCCAGCATCTTATCCCAACAACTCACTATTGCTTGCCTGCCTCTCTTTTGCAGACTCTTTAATTTAAAACAGATCCACTAAGACCAGCCACTTGGCTTCTCCCCACTTCTTCCTCTGGGTCTCATACACTTTATTCATCCATTGTGCTCTACGAACATGTTGATGTTAGGTGGACATCCAACGGCTGACATAGTCCACTATGTCAGAAGTGGAATAACCAGCATTCTACCTCCAGAAACTCATCAGAGTCCCTTTTCTGTCTGGCTGCTCCTTTAAGTGCAGAGCCTGACAACTGCGTAGACCAGAGGGGGAGACCAAAAAAAGATCCCTGGGGGCAGTGTTCAGGAGAGGGCTTGTGAGAAAATGGAAGGGTTCAGACCCAAAGGGTCTTTTCTCAGAGAACTCCTATGAGACCCAGCTTTAGGAGACGTAAAGTGACGACCACGTATTTAAGCCAATGAAGTCAGGAAGAAGATCTGGGTATTGAATTCATTAATATCAATGTTCACTAAAAAGTGAACGACAAAAGAAATGTCAAGGAGAGGAAACAGATATCAGATGAAGACAGATGAGAGCAAGAGAAATAAATTTTAAAAGCAATTAAATCAAGGATAGAGAAGAAACATAAACAACTTCAGCAAATAAGTTCAACAACTAGTTTAGAAACAAGACAACTGAAAAAATAAAGAGAAAAAGAAAGGTGAGGGGGTGGGGAATCCATAGAGAAGGAAGCATAACTGAGTAAAAGGGGGAAAGAGTAGAAAAAGAATGGAATAAACAAAGAGGAAGCGCAAATTTCATTTGGGCCACTTCTGTATTGATTCACCAAACCTATACAGGCCAAGAGGTTTCAAAGATGGTCAATGAAAAAGTGATTCTCTGGAACACAAATACTCTGCATAAAGTAACAGAGTGAGTGATATTCATGCTCTCCAGCACTCGCACCTAATTTAGAAGTGATGGGGAACATTGATTCCTACCTATCAGTGAAGAAAAACACGTGCTTCCAAAAAACATTCAAGACCCCAAGTTAGGCCCAAGACCCAGACAGACTTGCAAACACAACAATTTCACGTATCAGGGTAACTGCTCTGTGTCAGGTGTGACGGAGAGAAATTACATCAGAAATAACTACCCAAAGGAGGGTACCATTCTCCTATCATTTGCACACATGGGAAAACTTCACCCACGGCACAAGAAAAATAAGGCATGGACCTGGACAAGTTGTTCACCTACACAGGAAGAGGTGGAACAGGTCTGCTGGTCTAAAACTTGTGCATTAACCAAAAAAGCACCTCATTTCTCAAGAGAATTGGTAGTCTTGGGGCATCCAGTTTGGAGGTGCAGACAGCTAGGAAATGGGGCTCATGTTCCACAGGACTTGGTAAACACATCTAAGCTGTCACGTTCAAACAGATCCCTAACTCCAAGATAAGTCAAGTCAACCAGCCTGACTCAGACAACTCAGCCAACTCAAGTCAGGCCAATGCAGAGCCAAATGCCCTGACTAGATAAAAAACAAATAGCCCAGAAACCTTATCAAAGTTTTGATCAATATTATTGGTGTGGTGGAGTTAGTTCACCCTCTTAGTCCTACCCATTGTAATGGTTTATAGACTGGATGGAAGCGTATATCCAAAGGCAGCCCCAAATCCTGCCACTGAATCCTCTGGAAGCATTTCTCCAGGAGGCTTCAAACAGCCCTGAGCTCCTGCTGTGTGCTGTGGTCCCTAGGCCTTATCCTACTTGCTAAACCTTAGTAATGCTTAGTTTTCCCCTATACTCAGCCTTATACTCCTTCTTGTCCTGCTGGTTTGATCCTGCTCCTTTTGCCAAACCCAGTCCCACTGTCTGGAGTCTGATTCCAGCTGACTCCTAAACCCTACTCTTACCCAGCCTCCTAGTCCAGCCTGCTTGTGCCTGACTCTTCTGCCTGGCTCCTGTCCCTTGAGCTTCTACTGCCCCTGGATTTGTGACTTAAAATTTCTGCCTCTGACTGGCTTAACTGCAGTCCCTACTTCTCTCCATCCAAGCTGGTTTGAACACTAAACCCAACTCTAGAGAGCTTCTTCTCAAAGTTGCAATCTCCTGATGTTGAATCCGGACTGATATACTTGCAAAGATTTCAATCCCTTGGAGAAAATGCAGGACAAAATCTGTGGTCTTTTAAATCTGTAAGGCCCCATCTACCCTTACTCAAAGGAGTATTTTCTTAGCTTCTAGCAATAGGCATCCCATAACCACTTGATGGGCAGGTTGACATGGGCAGGCAGACAAACCTAGCACCCTCACTGCACCTTCTGACTGGTTACACACAAGGCAGGTCTCACTTGGCAGATGTACAGTAATTTTACAGCAGAATACGAAAGACCTGTGTTAGAGAGACCACGAAGGTCCCAAAACACTTCCTCCAGTCCCAGGAAATTTCATAGAGTTCTAATGCTACTCAAGAGAAATGTGTGTGGCCATGGAAAGACAGGCAAGAGATCTTTGGTTGAGAAGAATGCCAAGGGAGCCTAGTATATGTTAAGAGGGGTCACCCTCTTCATACCTCACTTCATTGGGACTGCAAAGGCTGGTTTCCAGTGAGGCCTCCATTAGGATGCCTACAGTATGGCCAGGAAGACCTGAACACTGAAACACCAATGAAAAGGGCTGGGACAGCCGGCACACCCTTGGACTATCCAATCAGCTCTGCTTCTTGGTGGAAAACTGCATGGAACTGCTTTTAACAGACACTGCTTCTTTCTAGGAGTGAGCTAAGATAAACTGAATTTGTTAAATTAATTTAATACAGTTTACCTGACCCATTTTGAACCCAAATTAGATGGCTCTCACATGCCATCTATGTTATAGCTAGAAACTGATGTCAAAGCAATGTGAATGCTGGAGAATAAGAAATGGGTTGCACAAGTATCTCAAAACATCAGTAAATGCCGCAAAAGGAGACAGTATTTTTAGGAGGCTCTTTACCTGCAGGTGGGTCCATTCTGTATTTATTCTCTTGACACCAACCGACTGGTCGAAGTCTGCAATCCAAGTAAAACAACCACTGGTCATAGGATTCAGTCTCCTCCAATCCCACATAGCGAAGGCGTAATCTTCCTCCAACATTTTCAACCACACTAACTATCCAGTACTGAAAGGGATTCTGGGAATCCTGCAGCTCTATTAAGGAATCAACTGTAATGAGGTCTACAGGGTTTTTTCCTCGCAGAGGCTGTTTGAATAGAAGCAAAACTCCTTATTTTAAACTTTATTTGAAGACTTCTCAAGGAAACAGATGACAGCAGAAGATTATTTTTGTTTTTCACACCATCATCCAAGCGATCAGCAAACAGTCTGTTCTTCTTCTATTTTACCCAATGTCTTCCAAGTGCAAATTCAGAAGTAAAACAGAAAACAACAGTTGTGCTAATTTCTCAACCGACATCATCAACAACAACAAAAAAAGAATAATAAAAGGTGGAACAGCTCGTAAGGCTCATCCACTTAGGATGCTGCTGAACAACTCAAAACCCAAATATATTGGAGGATTTCAAACCAAATTCTCATTGATTGCCGTTGCTAAGAACCAATCACAGGACTGGACACCGGTATTTACCTAAAAGGCTACTACTTTGGGCATGACCCTGAAATTGCCCTCTGTGCACTGATCTTCCCCACCAAAGGCTTTGTCTCCTTCCTGCTGGCATGTAGAGCAAATTATTCCCCACAGCCACGGATGCAAGAGTCTATGGTGGTTACTCTAAACCCCAAAGCCAATGGCAGGTTCCCACCAGTTTAAGTGGTCTTGGGATCAAAGCCCAAGGCACACAGGGGTGTCAAGCCGGGTCAAGCCACCATGCCCAAGAAACGCCAGTGACTGAGGCAAAGCCCAAGGCACACAGGGGTGTCAAGCCAGGTCAAGCCACCATGCCCAAGAAATGCCAGGTTATAACTGAGATTATTTGCTTACACACAGGATTTTCTGTCATCCCAGTTTTGCAGCCATTTACACATGTGCTTAACTTTACACCTGCAAAGCTGCCAACCGCAGGCATTAAAAAACCATGAGATGCTTTGCAGAACGACACCTCTGGGGCTCAGTGTTTTTGTGTTGCGATTGTGAGCATCTCTGTTTTGTCAAGCCTTTCTCCACTAACGCAACGGTTATAGATTTCTTCCTTTTTATTAAATGCAAGTTCCAATTCTTATGCAATTTCTCGACATCAGGGCTTTGAGAGCAGCACTAGAAAACACCCCAAGGGTTGGGGGCATTGGTCCCCAAAGGAGATGCTAAACACGTGTAAAATATTTTAAAAGCAAGGACTTTTTTCTTTTTCCTGTGTGTTTGTCCCACTTCTACTTAATTAAATAATGTAAACCTTTCACAGTATTTTTTAAAATATTAATTCTATAAATCAGAGTCAGCTCAGGATGGTTCCTTCTAGGAGTGGCTAGAAAAGAGAGAAGAAAGCCATATTTTTCAAAAAAGTTCCCCTTCCTATTGAATTTTGAAAATATTGAAATATTTGAAATGCAATTGATTTTCCCTACATCTCTCTTAATCCAAAAATGCACGCAATAGAATGAGAATTTGGTAAAAAATGCAATTAAAATTAACTAAAACCTTATCACATGTACAGTTTTAACCAGCTCTGTGTTTAATAGATATTTCTCAAAGCAATATATTTGCCATTATAAGCCACTCTTCTATAGTGTTAGCTACAAGCACCTGTATAATCTCTTCAAATATTATTTCATGGCAAAATGCAGTGTCAGAATTTAATAATATAATAGAAATCTATTTTAATGAGTTTTTTTTTCCTCTCATACAACTGCTTCATTGCAGCAAACCATTCTTTAATATGAAACGATGGTGTAATGATTTAACTTATTATAATAAATCCCTGGCTGTATAAAAGCGAATATTGCTTCTCTGATTTGTGTGCTAAATTTTAAGCCAATGGGTTGTCACTTACCCCTGAGAACTGAATGGCTAAGATTAATAATTGGCTTGCATGAAATATTAACATTTACCATAACGCAAGAACTCTTTATATGCATAGCTAGCATGAGAAAAGGAAAAAAAAAATATAAAAAAGTATCACTACATATTGATTTAACAGTATAACAACAATCTGCAGCACTCACGAACAGCAAATCTGTCGACAGGGGGTTACATACATTGCACGACACAGACAGCACTAAGCATATATATTGCATAAAACACCCAAAAAACAAACAAACAAAAAAGGCTCAGAAACTGTTTCAAGCCAAAGCAGTGTTTCTTTCTCTGCGTTTCTGCCTGGGGGGATGCCTCTTTTCTCTGCCTGCAGAAAGGGAACGGAGAGGTCCATGGTGGCACTGGTGTATACCAGACATGGGTGGTTGGACACCACCAGCTTTTTTGCATAAGCCACCTGGGAGTGGTCCAGGAACGGGGATGCAGCAGACCTGAGGATGTGCATTGTTTTGGTCGTGCAGGGGCTGCTTCCTAACAGATTGCAGGCAAAATTAATTAATTCTCCTTGCCAGGCAGCTCATACTGCAAAAGGATGCAGCTGCGGCAGGTGGGAGTGACCAGGGACAAAAATGATCAAAAATGGTGCCCGGATTCACACTTGATTCCAAAAAGCCAAAATGAGGGCTTACACAAAGGTAAAACCACCCATATGCCTTCACTCCCAGCCTAAATACAGAGGGGGCAGAGAGGATTATCTCCCCCAGGATGGGCTGTCTCTTCTCCAAATGCCCTCACAGGAGAGCAGGGTAGGTCCTGATGGAGGTGGCGTTGGAACTAAATGATCTCTAAGTTTTATGATTCTGTCTGTGATCTGCCTGCTGAAGGGAAGTAGTGAATGAACTCCTTGTTTTGCTTTGCTTGCACATGTAGCTTTTCCTTTGCCCATTAAACTGTCCTTATCTCAACCCACGAGTTTTTTTCATAGAATCATAGAAAGGTTAGAGTTGGAAGGGACCTTAAAGATCATCAAGTTCCAACCCCCTGCCATGGGCAGGGACACCTCCCACTAGAACGGATTGATCAAATCCTCAGCCAGCCTGGCCTTGAACACCTCCAGGGATGGGGCAATTTCCTCTGTTTTATTCTTCTGATTCTCTTCCCCATTTCAACCAAGGGATTGAGTGAGCGGCTGCGTGGTCCTAGTTGCCATTGGGGGGGTTAAACCACGACAACCACACAGCCTTTTTTGGATTACCCAACTTTCTAAGCACCCTCCAGCTGAAAGGCCAAACAAACTACCCATCAAGGGGGCCAGAAGCAGAGCCAGCAGAGACAAGGCCGCCGGCACCGGACCAGGCTCCGTTGCCATCACACACAGACGCTGCACGCACAACAGCCCGACACGTCGGGGGCACAAACACCACTGCACACACACAACGTAGGGGATAGAAACTGCAATCTAATACATACGCCTTCCAGTAAATTGGCAGGGGCAGTCCGGGCGCCGGTCAAATCATGGATGAGAAACTCCGTCCAGTCCAAGTATTTCTCTTTGATTGCTGGGGAGGGCGAGGAAAGGAAAAAGAAAAGAAATGCTTAGCTCAGCAGACCGCAATGGACTTGACATGTGTATGTTAGAGACATCTCCTCAGGGTCTACCAGCTCTAAAGTTTTAGATACAATTCCAAAGCAGACCAGGAGAAAAGCTGGTTCATTGTCTAGTTCCTTGGGCAACCCATGCACATGGTTAGATGATAGAATCATAGAATGGTTAGGGTTGGAAGGGACCTCAAAGATCATCCCGTTCCAACCCCCCTGCCATGGGCAGGGACACCTCCCACCAGACCAGGTTGCTCAAGGCCCCATCTAGCCTGGTCTTGAACCCCTCCAGGGATGGGGCAGCCACAACTTCCCTGGGCAACCTGTTCCAGTGTCTCACCACCCTCATAGTAAAAAATTTCCTCCTGAGATTTAATCTGAATCTTTTTTCTTCCAATTTAAAACCGTTTCCCCTTGTCCCATCACTACACTTCCTGGCAAAGAGTCCTTCTCCAGATCCCAGAATAAGTGAAGGTGTTGCTCCACTGCAGCCATTGACAGTGATTTACAACATCGTGGCTTATCATCTCCATCTCTCCCGTTCAAAACTGGCCACTGCTTGTGTAACCACTCGTTTCCTGCTTACCACACGGGCTCAGATATGATTTATAAAGTCCCTTTGTATGTTCACTAATGACCTCAGAGGAAAAAAAGCTGTGCAAGCTTTCATTTCCTTGACAGGACGTCAGAAACTCCAGGTGCTTGCCCCCACAAAGCACAAGAACCAACCCTGAAAACATTGTATGTCAGCGACTGAGTCAATACACTTGCAAGAAGAAAGACATAAAGAATTTATCAAAAAACTTCTATTTCATTAAAAAACAATTGAGCAAAACACTGTAAGCCTATGTTACTTCAGGGATCCATATCCACATAGTTTCATAAGATTTGAACCAAAATGTATAAATGTTGCCCCTGGAATTCAAATTCTGGTTCAATTCTTGTTGAAATCAGTAAAAGTTGGACAGCAAAAGGCAATTCAGCAAATCTCAGCTTCTTCAAGCGCACTGTGCAATCAGAAACCCAGAAACCAGAATTTAATACCACCTGCCTGTAAATAGGAATTAAATTACATCAGAAACATTCTTCTCTCCCAAAAAATCTTACCTATATGTTAGACAATCAACAGTAATGTAGTTATGTTGCTAACACAGCAACACCTCTAGAAGGGAAAAATCACAAGCATTTGAAAATTAAACATTTCCTCTGAACAAACAACTGCATACATGGTTTAAAGACCACTACCCCACAGGGGAGGCCAGGAAGGGCTGTAATTAATCAGCTTAAGTCCAAAATAATTAAATGATAGCAACCCTCATGTTTTGCTCAAAGGAAGCGGACTCCTTTGCTCCGTGTTTTAGGGAAATACCACGTTATTCAACCACGAGCAAACCAGTCTGAAGCACTTTGCACTTTCACACACATCAGGGTGGCTTTCCTAAATGTTTTAAAAGCTTGTTGACTGTCACTTTGCGGCCCTTCCCAGAGATGAGTGTCAGCTACCATGATGCCTTGACAATGCAGAACCTGAGCTGCAGGACCTCTGAGAAGGTGCAAGCTCAGTGGTTAGAGCAGGAGGACTTCAGACTGCAAATGCAAACAGCAATGTGAGCACAAATATTGCCGCCGTTGCCTCCAGACAAGGAGACAAAACCTTCTCAAAATGCATCCTCAAACCATCTGCTGCCAAAAAATGAATTAAAGACAGGCAAAGAGGGGGACCTGGGTTTTCCAAAGGACAGTTAGAATGACAGAATCACAGAATGGTTTGGGTTGGAAGGAATCTTAAAGATCATTGAGTTCCAATCCCCCTGCCATGGGCAGGGACACCTCCCACTAGACCAGGTTGCTCAAAGCCTCATCCAACCTGGCCTTGAGCACCTTCAGCTCCCCAACCTGGGCTAGTGTCTCACCACACCCAGAGTAAAGAATTTCTTCCTAGTGTCTAATCTAAATTTCCCCTCTTGCAGTTTAAAACCATTACCCCTCGTCCTATCACTCCACTCCCTGATCAAGAGTCCCTCCCCATCTCTCCTGTAGCCTCTTCAGGTAGTGGAAGGCTGCTGTAATATCTCCCTGGAGCCTTCTCTTCTCCAGGCTGAACACCCCCAACACTCTCAGCCTGTCCTGACAGCAGAGGTGCTCCAGTCCTCTGATCATCTTCATGGACTGCCTAGGGCCACCTCCCCAGAGGTACATGTCCCTCTTATGTTGGAGTCTCCAGAGCTGGACCCACGTGCTCATGGTTGGGTTTGCTTCAAGCGTGGGTTCTTGGCACACTTGGGCTCTGGCCCATATTCAGTTTACACCCTAAATACCTTATGCAATCCATAGAGGTGGCCACAGACAAAGACAGAAGCCATGCCCAACAGACTGTACATCAAACTTCATTTCTGAGTTGTGCTCTTCCCCAAAAGCCGTTTCTCCCAATGTCACCTGAACTACACATTTAGTTTATAGGCCTAAATGACTTTGAAAGTGCATTTAAATATATTTAAAATTAACAAACTTTAAAGTGCTGGACTTGAAACTTTGTAAAATAACGCTTAAGGCAGCCTGGAACCACTCTAAGTCTTTGCAGGACTGACTTTGCGTGATTTGCAGGAGTTTTATGACTTTTGCATTATTTAAGATGAAGGACTAGCCTGAGAAGAAATGGTTTATACATGACACTTTCAAGATTTCTGTTGTGTACACCCCATCAGTTCCTGTCCAACTACATTAGGATAAAGAAAACAAGCTTCATTTCGGCATCAGAGAGAAGACAGTAATTGCTGCAATGAATGAGACTGGAGTCCCTCTAGTTGAGACTTCTGCCTCTCGCTGCGAACAGCACTGGGTGCATCAGAGAAAGGTGCAAGTTGAACTTCATTTTGGCTCATACCCACAAAGTTGTCAGCCAAATTTTGAATGCCAGAACTTCATTACTAAGGAATGACAAATGTGATAAAAAGAACACGGTTCAAACTTTCAAAGCTGGCAGGAGGTGGGGGGGGAAATAGGATTTTAAAAGTTGACAACAGATTTCAGGGGCCTCCATTTCCAGATGCCCGATTTGAGATGTCTCAGTGGTGCCCGATTCACAGATCTTGCTGTCTGTCAGTCAGTCCCCCTTTTAATGCCTATCAAAAAAATTAAAAAAATTAAAAATCCCTTGTCCTTTTTAAAAGGCTTGCACCTCACAGATCTTCAACACCTAAATAAAATGAGGCCCTTCTCCACATTTAAATCCAGATTATGGACTTTGAAAGTCCAGAAGTGCCAAAATGACGTTTTTTTTCAGACTAAGCAGACTCAGCTGAAAAAACAAGCTACTTCCCGTTTCTGAGTGGTTTCTGAACCATCCTCCCCAAACAAGTCTAGTATCTGGTGTTTTGCTTTATTTTATTCTTCTACTGTGGTGTAGATAAAGGGACACTGAAAACCTCTGATTGCACTGGAAGTTTTAGGAAGAGGGATTTGCACTTTTTTCTGTGCCTATAGAGGGCAATCGGTCTTCTCAGTACCACAGTTCAAGTCATTACAATGCAAATATTAATTTTGAGTAGTAATGAAGTGAATCTGAATCATCACAATATCTGCAAAAGCCTTTGAGGACCAAGCAAAATTTTAAACAAGAATGTTCAAACAAAGGAAAATCCGCTGGGTAAATGAGAATAGCTGGCGGCGTAATGCTTGGGTGCCCAACCTCAGCATCTATCTCAAGCGATGCTGGTGCTTCTCTGGTGTATCAGACTCAGTGCCTGTGAACCAAAGCACTGATTTTAACCACTAATTCACGTTTTCACTTGTTAGCTACAGGAAAAGACCCAACTGAAGTTCTCCTACTGCAGGCAGGCTGGAAGAACTATGTTTTAGAGCCCATCTGCAGCTGGGTGGCCGATGGGTGGGACAGGAAGGTGGACAGGACAAAGGATCCTGTTCCATGGGGACCTAAACTCCACTAGTATTGCTACTTTCAAAACAACTTTTCCTTCCTTAAATAACTTTAGCGAGTCAGGAGAGGTCCGTGGAGCTCGGATATCTGTTTTCTCTACCTTTCAATGGATCCATCTTCCCAGAAGACTTCTGTGAACCTCCCCTACCCAGAACCTGTCACACTGAATACACCTTGGGGATCTCAGCTAACATCTGTGGTGCCGTGGGAGCCAGGGGAGACACACACCCAAGAAATAAAACAAAAGAAATCTCATCGATCCTTTTCAAAGAGAACCATTTCATGCAGGGAGGTAGGTCCTTGTACAAAAGCCAAAAGCCACAGAGGAAAAAAAATGTGTCCTTCAAACCTTCAAATGGAAATACTCTGACAAGCCCCCTTCGACCACAAAGTGTGATGGGCACAAGCAGCAATTTACAAGCACACAATTAATGTCACCCTAATTCATGCCAGCCTAGCTCTTACTGAGTGGCACAGACTCAAAAGGTGGTAAGAAATCTTCATAGTAAGAAAGTCCCTGGTACTTCTGCCTGGATGGCACAGGAGGAAACACCCCTCGTTCTTCACAATCCAGGGAGCTGACAAAACTGTCAGGAAGACTTCTACCAATGCACAAAATCCTCTCCAAGCAGGGGTAAGCACTGAAAGCTCCCTGGTCCCTTTTGCACACCTGCCCTTCCTTCACCAGGCACAGCTCGTCTGTGAAGATGGCACCTCTGAAAGAGACAGTCACCCACCCCACAGCAGGGCTCCAAATAGGCCCAATAATAAGGAATCATTTGAGATACTCTAGTTATATTGAAGCTACTTTGGAAATTATATCTGAAGCAGCCAGGGCTTGCTTGACCAAGGCAACAGTAACATAATCACACGGATTGGTCCTCTAAAGCATGAGGCTCTGATGCTCTAGGAGGACACAGCTTGGCCAAGAGTCCCACTACTGCTGTAACAGACCCATCATTGTGCCAGTCCCGTGGTCCTACACGGGGTCTGCCATGCAGAGGAGTGACCAATAGGAGATGG